ATTTAAAATTTAATTTAACAAAAAACCGTTGAAGTGCGATATTTGTTTAAAAAAAATTCACCGTAAATCTGAGTTGCGTAGACTTCATAATTCACACTAAAAAACCATAGATATATTTTCTCTACGGCCACTACTGAACGTAGTTCTTCCAAAACCACTGATAACAGAAAGAAAAAAATATCGCTCTTGAGATTGAAGAAAAATTCTGAAATGCTTGCCTCTTATGTATTTTACACGTATTTTATTCTAACTCTACAGGCAGAATGTTCATTATGTAATAGCTACTGGCCAATGGCTGTGAATACCACGCCCGAATCGTAGAAAGTCATGAATTTCAGGACTGACACTTCTACGCGACATATTAGTATTTAGTTTGAATTTGTCCAAATAAAGATTAGCGGCGTTTGTTGTTAAATCGAACTTAGATTCAAAAATTGGTGAATATAATGATTATTATGTGGAATTTGACAATATTTCTCCTGAACTGAAACATTATGCAAATAATTTAAATAAAAACTTGTCCAACAAGTTAGATTAAATATTTCATTTGGTTCAAAGTTTCAGTTTACTATATCGAACTGCTATTGTATCTGTGGCCGTGGAGAAAGTACAGTATGTTATTCTGTTGGAATTCCAACTTTGTTACAGAATACACTGTTATATATAATATTCAATAGATAAATGTATTATGTGTTCTGTGCTACATAGATTCAACAAAGAGGATATCCATTTTAAAAATTTAATCAAAAATGTAACTTACAGAAACATTTAGTCACACTATTAAAAACCCTTTCAAGCGTGGTAGTTATTTCATAAAATTCGGTTTCAAATCAAATTTACAGAAACTTTTAATAATTCACATTTATGAAAGAAAATTCAAGTTACATTTTGTTTTTAAAATATTGTAATATACACAAGGGCGGAGCCCCCTGGGACGTTTACATCTGATATGTTTTAACTATCTAAATGTACTTTTTCTACAATTGAAAACTCTGTAGTTTTACGGCGTCTTGTTATACGCCGGCCCGTCCCGTCGTGCTATCTCCATCTAATCTATCTTGTATTAGTTTACTGCCGCGATTTCGATGTTTGCAGCACGTTGCCGAGATTAACCAATGCGGCAGTTTTTTTTTACTTTAATAGTTACTTTTTCATAAGTTTTGTTTACATTTTCTAGGACATTTATTTCTTAATACCCTGCTATAGGAGATATTCTCCTTTTCAGGGTGGTTTGCCCTGATTACAACAAGTAACCTGTTTCCTAATGTCGTGTGCGCGTCTGGGACCTGTGTGACAGGTTGTGTTTCCGAATAATATCGCCAATTTTTGCTATTTCCAGCCTTATAAATGGACAAGTCCATAGTATAAGGTGGAGAATTTGATTTAGTAAAACCACGAAAACCTAAATCACGATTGTGTACAAAATATTATAACTTCTAATTATATGATTGGGACGGGTTTTATCTGATGCTTAGGGGGGATGAGTCCAGCAGATTCTGTAGTTCAGCGGTGAGGGGAGGTATTGGGAGTCAGAAAGTAATCTTAGATTTGTTGCGGCATTTTTCTTTTCGGTTTTCGAAATAGTGGGAGGTCGCGTGGGCGCCATGGGGTTTGTAGTGTGTCTTAGGAGTGTGCGTTGGTGCCTTTTAGCATGCGAGAGACGTATTGTTTCCTGAGGATTTGGAAACTTGTGAGGCAGGTCAGGGGCACATACTTATAATAGGTATACAGCGTAAAACCCTCTGCGAATTTTTACTTGGTGTTTAATAAAAGAAGATGTAAAATACCGCTTTTTTATATAAACAAACAAACGGATGCAACCAATTAATTTTCATAAAAAATATTCCTGTTGATGTGGAGGAAGTTATTAATCGTTTCGCGAGAAAACAGAAGAGGAAAATTGATTTTGTTATTTACGTTAAATAGAATCGCCCAGTTAGTATTAAAATGTTGGTGTTACAAGTTAAATATCACTTAAATTGATATTGATAGATTTTTTGGGTAAAAATGTTTGGTTTTTTGCGTTTTTCCTCTCGTCTTGATACGCCTCCGATGGTCTAATGTGGCTCCCTTGTCTAAAAAGCTGGATCTGCCCTTGAATACAACTAAACAGATCATTTAAGAATCTTCAATTCTGTGTCTGTTTTTTTTATGAGAAACAAGTAATTTATACATATCACTTCTAAACTTTATTTAATTTATACTTTTTTTAATAGTGCATATTTTCTTATGAATAAAGTTATATTATTTTCTTTTATTTACAGATTTCACGTCTACTAAATCAAGATTGAAACATATCGAAGGACATTTTAGAAATTGTTTCACAATTTGTATGTTTTGTGGAAAACTTATGGAAAAATTCGAATTTTTTCGGCATTGTTTCATCCATTTAGTCAAAAATAGAACTAGTAGAAGGAACTTAATTCAAAAAGAAAACAAGTGTCACATTTGTTACAGAAAATTTATTCTGGAATATAACTTGCTGCGACATTTAACATTTCACACTAATGAAAGGCCATTCGAGTGTAATATTTGTTTAAAAATGTTTAAACGAAACAATGAATTACAGAGCCATTTAAAAAGTCACTCTAATGAAAGACCATTCAAGTGTGATATTTGTTTAAAAACATTTAAACGTAACAATGACTTACAAAGACATTTAATGATTCACTCCAATGAAAAACCATTCAAGTGTAATATTTGTACCAAAGCATTTAAACAAAAAAGTAAGTTGACTGCACATTTATTAATTCATTCTAATAGAAAACCATTTAAGTGCGACATTTGTCCCAAACAGTTTACCTTGAAATCTACCTTAAAAAGACACATGAAAATTCACTTGCCGCAACATTTAATAATTCAAAAATACGAGTGTCACATTTGTTACACAAAATTTGATCGGAAATTTAGTTTGCTGCGACATTATTTATCTCACACAAATGAAAAACCATTCAAGTGTGACATTTGTTCCAAAACATTTATTGATAAACATCATTTACAAAAACATTTAATAATTCACACTAATGAAAAACCATATAAGTGTGACATATGTTTAAAGAGCTGTAAACGTAAATCTGACTTACAGAAACATTTAATAAATCACCGTAGTGAAAAACCATTCAAATGTGATATTTGTCTCAGAGAATATAATCAGAAATCTAGTTTAAAGGAACATTTAAAAAATCACTCTACCGAAAAACCGTTCAGTTGTGATATTTGTTTTAAAAATTTTTATCGCAAATATGACTTACAGAAACATTTAAGAATTCACACTAAAGAAAAACCATTCAAATGTGATATTTGTTCCAAAAAATTTAATTCCAAATGGACCTTACAGAGACATTTAAAAACTCACACTAAAATCAATCAAGTGTAATATTTGTTCCAAAATATTCAAACGGGCATTTCATTTACAGAAACATAAAATAATTCATACTAATTAATCTTATCAGAAATGTAATTTAAAGGAGATGAAAGTGGAATGAATACTTCAGTGTGTGAAAATTGAAAATATTTTATTAATAATTAGGCTGAGCGCTTTCGCTATCCTAAAAGGCGTTACAAATTAATAATTGAAATATTAAATGATGTTAAAAATTACGACTAGGATACCTACCATATGGGATCATTGACAAAATACAACATTTGAGTCGTACAGTAAAACAATTACATTGAAATGTAGCTAGGTAAAGGCACCAAATCTTAGTTAATCCCTTGATCAGGTATATTAATAATGCTACGTTATATTATTTATTTATAAATTCGTCTGTAACGACGCTACAGGTGACAACACTAAACTTCATTATTAAACTCTGCACCCCAGAATAAAAGTGTATTGAGTCGCATATTGTAAATTGTTTAGGAGAAGAATTTAAAGTATTTTTAAACAAAAATATTATGTTATCTATGTCAGTTCTAGTTTATTTAATGAGATTTTTTTCTACTATTAGTAGTTGGCTTCTTCTTTCATTATAATATAATTTATGAAAAAAAGTTTTAGAAAAAAAATAAGGATTTTGTATTTAACAAAAATTTACTTTAGAGGACTTGGTATAACTGGATTTAATATATTTGGGACTTGATTTTAATACACATTATAGATATCTCCCACAAAAATAACATTTTTATTGAAAAAACATTAAGGTACATAAAAAAATATGTTTTATTTTTACTAAACAACAAAGAAACTAAAATTATAGGCCTCCAATTATTTAATTATCACGCTGTTCCTGAACTACCAAATCAGTATAAACCAAATAGTAATTATAGAACTGTTTTGGAATCCATGTGAGGTAATTTTGCAGGTGCTTACACATTTTAGTAGAAATAAAATTTGGCCCATCTCGCAGGGGAGATAGTTCGTGCTACATTGGGATTCTCATCTTTCAATTCGGCACGTGTTGAGACGACTATCTTCGTTCCACAAAATGCGATTCATATGTAATGTCTCTCTCTATTCAATTCGTTACGTGTTGAGTACACACATAAGAATCCTTGTACGGAAAAACACTACGTCGCCCAGATCTGGTCAAATCAATGCTTTTAAAATTTTCGCATTCGAAATCGATTTTATAGAAAGTTTTCCACTATTATGTGCTCTAACTTGTAAAAAATAAATCACTTTAGATATCGAAAAATCGTCTCCTTGCTCAGATTTTTTTCGGGAAACAAACGGGGATGTTGGCTTTTGATATAATTGTTTAAAATCATTAGTTTTCATGGAAAGTACTTCAAATGGGTTGTTAGCACTGCAAATTCGGATAGTTGTTTTCTTTCTTGCCCGTTCAATCACTGAATAGCTGCCATCCACTTCAAGTGAGTATGCTCATTTAATTATCCCAGAAGCCTTTTTGTTTGCACCATGACTTGACTTGGACTCATCCCACATAATGCAATATACTTTTTTATTAGTGTACACAGTGTAATTTTATGTTCACAGTTTTAAAGAGTATAAACTTTGAGCATTTGTTAATACGGGGGTGGGTAAACATTTCTATAAGTCAACTCAAACCATAATAGTAATTGTTTTGTGTTCCAGAGTACTCCTTATCTTTTCTCTTTAAATCGTATCCTTTTGAGGCCTCAGCTAAGTGTTTGTCATACTCTTCTTGTAATTTAGATTTCTCTTCAGAAAATTCGGCATCATGTATTTTAATTAGGAAAGAGTCACAAGAATCACATGTATCGTTATCCGGTGACTTAAATGACAAATTATATTCGGAGTTTAAAATATCTGCATGCAACCATTCTTTGGTAAATGCACTTTCACCTAAATTTTTCGCATCACATTGTAACGGGTACAGGTTATACATTTTAGATAAATTTAGATGACTACCTAAATATTTCCTCTTACTCTTTTCTCTTGAATAGTGAGACTCTTCAATAGAAAACTGACTAGTATGTTTACGTAAACTATCTCTTACGAGATCTGGAACCCTTACGTGAAGGTCATGTCAACCCCTCTGATCAGCAGAAACAATACCACCAGATTTCTTTTTTATGCGTGAAGTTGTTACAAATGTCTGCGATATTTTCAAAGTATTCAGATACCTTACAGACCCTGGTGACTTTCCCATTTACCTCAAAATCATATTGTCTTGTGTGGTTTTTAGCATCACAGCGCAAACCCGATCTGGATCTTCTTCGAATAATCAGTTCTGTTTTAACATGTGACGCAACATATTGGCGTTTGCGGTTTACGTCGTTTAAGGAATTCCAAAACATAGAATATATAGATGACCTTGTTTCTGCATTAATATTTTGGAAACATTTTAAATAACATCCTTCCTTGCATGGATTTCCTAATTCTTTGGCGCGTAATATTTTGATTTTTGCTGGGTGTTCTTCTCCACTTGTTACTATATGTTTTTGTACATTAATTTTCCAATTTGCTTCCTGTTTTCGTCTTTTTTTTTTTCCTTTAGGTGTGGTCACTTCTTTTTGATATTTATTATCACCGCTGTTAGTATTTCTCGGCCTTGTCTCTGTCTCTTCATCGTCACTTGAATTTTCGTAAATCGGATCTCGTATACTATCATCAGAATCTTCAAAATAGTTTTTTTTTTTTTCATATTCGTAGGGTTTTCTACAATCTGCTTCAAAATCTTAGACGTTGATGTATGTTAACTTGACGAGAATTAACTTAAACAAGCCATTTTCGTTTGCTAAAAGTTTACAGAAGGTTAGTTTTTTTTATAAAGGACAATTTTAGATACTGTTAAAAATATAAAAAAATAATATCTTTTTTTTAACGTTACTAACCTTTTGTAATTACAGCGAATTCGACGTTGGGAACAACTACATCGAATATATTAACTGTATTCTCAAAAAAAATTCATGGCCACTTCATAATATTAGTTTGAGAAAAAGTGTTGTCTTTTTTCACGCTGTAGCTTTCATCTGCAATTTTGAAAATTATACAGGTAATTAAAAACATAAATTTATACAAAATATCATGAAAGTTTTTCGACTAAATATCTGTGCAGTGAAACATTGCCTCTACTTTTCATGTGCATTTTATTAAAGCATGCTTTTTTTAATTATTTATAGCCTAATTTCAGCTAAGCATTGGTTTTCGCCTTTTTTAACCAAATTTAAGTACTACTACTAACCTTTCTCAATGCCAGGCAGTTCTATCAATTTCAGAACAGGAGTAGTCTCACTGGTCTCAGAGTTTAATTCATTATTTTCAAGCTCATTAATGGTCGCAACAAAGATGTGGTTTTCTGGAACATCGTTATTACCTAAAATGTAATAATTAAACAGATCATTACTAAAAAATCAATTTTATTTTCCAAAAAATAAAAAAAAATTATTTACTTACTCTCGTTAGTGTTCGAAATCAGACTCTTCGGTCCGGAAGAACCAATATTGAATTTTTTGACATGATCTTTATCTGTCTCAGATATGTTCGCTAAAGCTTTATCGCCACTGATCTCAGATCTCAGAAATATTTTTAAAAATATCAAATAGGTATATTAAGTCCCTGTGGACTTAATGCCATAAAATTATTGCGCTAGTTTTGCTATAACCTAATGCTAAAAAATATGTTGCTTTGCCAATAATTACACGATTATTTTTGCATACAAAATATTTTAGCATTTTATAGAACTTTATTATTTTGAGGTGGTAATTACTTACCCGTAATATTTGAATGTAAATCGTTATTTTGAGAAGTAGATTTTTGTTCTTTTAATATTCCCATTATTCGTTTTGACCGTAAACTCATTTTTCGACGACAAATCAATGAAAACAGACTGAAAGTACCATTTGGGAACGCACGACAGACGACAGCAGAAGCGACTGTGAAGGAGACCAAAAACGGTCTCTTCACGTTTGAACCTATGTAGTTATATGAAATTTTATAATAAAATTAAATGATAAATATAGTGCTGTACTTGTTATAATTATAATTGCTAACATTTCTGGTTGTTCTTTATTATTTAAAAAGAAAATCATTTGCTAACAATTTTACCAGTTCTTCCACTTCATACTCAGGATTTGACAGTTTTGCCGCGGAGATAACCGAAGTGAACGCGAAACTGCGTAGAAAATTATTTTATAAATGCTAATAATAATTTTGCGTAAATACTTCAATAAATTGTGAATAGCTATTGACATTTTGTAGAATTATTATTTGGGTTTAAATAATTACTTATAGCCTATAAACAGATACGTTTGCCCGATTCCGCTGGTAATAATTTATTCTGTTTGGTATTATTTTTATTCTATGTTACGATAATGGCGAACAAACACTACCGACGAGGTTTGATATTTACCACCTCTCTACCTACCAAAAGCCTTTCCAACTTCTGTCCCTGCCATGTCTACCTACATTTTAATGTAATTGTTTTACTGCTAGGCTCAAATTTTGTGTTTTGTCAATGATCCCATATGGTGGGTATCCTAATGATCCCATATGGTGGGTATCCTAATGATCCCATATGGTGGGTATCCTACACGTAAGTTTTAACATCATTTAATATTCCACTTGTTAATTTGTAACGCCTTTTAGGATGACATTGATGATGGCTTTGAAAGCCAACATCAATTTTTACACACTCAAGTATTATTCCACTTTCATCTCACTATTAGTGTGAACATCATTCCCAGTTTGCTTATTTGTAATTTAAAGGACAAAAAAGCGTTAAAGTGCAATATTTGTTTAAAAAAAATTCTTAAATCTGAGTTGCATAGACTTTTCATAATTCACACTATTTCCAGGGTATTCGAAATATTTTTCTTTTATATGTGGAAGATATTCAGTTAAACCGGCAACTTATATTTCATTATTAAATATTAATTATAAAGTATGACAAACGTTTTTCGTTAATTGACAACCACTTAACATCAACAACTAAAAAACCATCGATATATTTTTATATAATATACAATAGGTAAATGTATTATGAGTTATGTACTATATAGATTGAAGAGAGAGGGTATTATTTAAAAAAAATAATTAAAAATGTAACTACAGAAACATTTAATTAGTCACACTATTAAAAACCATTCAAGTGTGACAATTCCACAACATTCGATATGAAACAAATTTACAGAAACGTTTGATAATTCACATTAATGAAAAAACATTAAACTAATAATTTATTTGTTTTAAAAAATTTTATCATACATATTTTTTCTGTGTCGTATTCTTAATGGGACACTCTGTATATATACATTTTTTTTATTGTGAAACAATTATTTGATACTTGTCACTTCTAAACTTTAATTAATTTGTAATTTTTTAATATTGTATATTTTCTTAAGAATAAAGTTATTTTATATTATTTCTTTTTTTACAAATACCACCTATACTAAATCAAGATTGAAACTTATCGGAGGAAATTTTAGGAAACGTTACATAGTTTGTATATTTTGTGGAAAATCCAACTAAATATTTAATCCCTCTTGAAGGAGAAAATCTTTGCTAAAGAGGTTTGTAGTATCTATCTCACGCTGCGACCCATAAATAAAATAATAAGTACTTAATAATTAAATTTAATTAATAAGTTCTTATTATTTTATTTACTACTTCCGTGATTGAAAATGAATAACGTGTTTCGTATCGTCACAAAGTAACCCTTCGAAGTATTGATAAGTTTACCGCTGATTCAAAGGAGTTACGTAACTTGGCTAGATATCTAAAGCAGGTAGGCAGAAGAAATATTTGTAGCAGGAGTAAATATTATGAAATAATCTCACTTTTTAGATTTCTGCATTGGCGAAGCATAAAGAATTAAATGATCCTGGTAAATGCCGTATTAATTCGAGTTCTGAAAATTTACATTGTTGCCGATTGACCACGGTCCAATCGGCGTTGAGTCACCTTCAATTAAAAATAGTTCGACTATGGTCTAGACTAGATCGAACATGGAGGAAGGTTAATTGAGCCGTTTATTTTTAAAAGTGGCCTAAATCCATTTATACTTAAATTAAGATAATAATATGCATTATCGATAATGTCCTAAGGCAGTGATAAAGGTAATTTTAATTAATTAGTATTTAACAAGTTAACCTCAGTTTTTGGACAATTGCATAAGTTGAATAATCAGTACCACAAAGCACCTATCTTCTAGAGACCCCACGCCAATGGTAGACTTTTAAACCAAATTAGCGCCACCTTGAGTTTGGAGCAGGAACTAAAAGGACAATTGACAGATGGCGGTAAATTCAAATTATAATTTTTAGTAGTAGGTAATAGTTCTAAATTTTAAATGATTTCCACATAAATTATTTTATAAAATAAAGTATGGAACTAGTAAGTTCGAAACTTTTATTTTACAAAATAATTTAGGTCGATATGCCAAATTTAAGGAATTAATTTGTTATAATGGGTCTAATTTGGAGAGTTGGTTCTGCATATTATTATTAAATAAAATATAAGATATATCAATAAATAATAAATAGAACATTCTTAAAATATGTTTATTAATAACTTAAATAAACATTATTAGAACAAAATAAATACAAATAATAATAATACATATTTAACGAATACTTACTTGGAGTAAATAGGTATACAATCTCAAATCTTTACAATATCAATATATTGAAATGTGAAGTAGAAACTAGGATATAACATTTTATTAACACTAAAGTTATATTTTATAAATGTCTTTTTACCTGAAGGATAAATGTAATATAGGTATTGGGTTAAAAGTTGAATCCTCTCTCTGTAACGTGTGGAGGGTGGATTACCCCCACGGCACTTGTGTCTCATTAGGCCCATTGTGCATCTCCTAAGATGATAGGCACATCCTAGCTCGTGAGCCAGGAAGGTGAATCCTTTTAAATATTCATTCACTGATAAATATTTTCCTTCCAAATACAAATGGTATACTCTTCTTATGTGAAATATGATTTCGGAATCTAGTCCAGTAATAAATTGATTACCTGTTTTTTATGATGTATGGTAAATCAATGAAGTTTTTCTCGAAGTTTTTAACATAGCACCAAAATTATTGCAAAACACAGTAGGAAATAGAAAAGCAAAACATCACCAATTTTGCAAATAACTAGGACTATAAACAGAAACTAAAGCCAACAAAAAATCACTAAAATCAGATGGAAAAATGCGACTAACCAAAAACATAAATAAATACACGTCACATCTTTGGAGTTTTTGGTTGTTTTTCTCCCATAAAGCTTAAAAATGGAGTAAGAAATCATAATTCATCAGTAGCCCCATCTAGAGTTTGGAGCAAATAGCATAATAAATGTCAGTTGTCGGTTTTGACCTTGGTCATTCACGTGGAACCTCTATCTATGTGCTTTGTGATCAGTACGTTTAATTAATGCAGTTAAACAAAATTTCGCCAAACCTTTAGATATCTCAATTTAAGTATAAATGGAGTTAGGCCACTTTCAAAATAAACGGCTTAATTAAGGTCCGTATTTATAAATAGAATCAGACTTAGGTAAGTCGTCCTTGAACTAAAATCGAAGTTCGGTTACAACGCCTCTAAGTTCCAGGTGGTTCCGGTGTTACACTGGAATTTAGAGATGGATATTAGCAAATCTGTAACTGTTAAGTACATTTACGAATTTGTTACCACCAAGGGCGGCTTCAGGGGGGAGGGACATAAGGGCCGTGCCCCCCCCTTCCCGAGATGAAAATTCTGACGAGTTGTGAGCCAGTTATTCAAAAAAATTTGCTAAATAGGGAATGGCTAAAGACAATGCCCCGTCCCCCCGAAAATTCGTGTTGGAGCCGCCCTTGGTTACTACCCATCTCTAAATTCACGCGATATAACCGAACTTCGATTTTAGTTCAAGGACGACTTACCCAAGTCTGACTCAGCTGAGTTTTGTTTATAAATACGGACCTAAGAGTTGCCGATTCTTCATAGAAATTTGGCAGCACGTGTGCTTTCAGCGACATATGGGACAGTTTTGTGCAACTAATACTTAGTCGGTAATGTAGGAAGCTGTAATGCTATTTCGGTTTGAAAATTGGCGGGCTTTAGAATTTACTTAATAATAATAATAATACTCTCCCTAATTCACCCCCTTACGAGTGAATTTCAACCCCTGAAGTCAACTGAACGACTTGTGTAGGGGAAGGGACGGCTATTATTATTATTTGCCGTGGCGCCCCGGGGCGACTTAAGGATGATTGATGGTGCCATTTGACTTACAGGTGAGGAAAACCTCACCCACCATCATCGAGACGATAATGTATGGCGATTTTATAATCTGCATGTCATATCAATAGAAATTGAATTTCCATTAATACGGCACACATCAAATCCTAAACCGAACCATGCAATTTAATTAAAAATCCACATGGTCTGGTCTGGAATTCGAAGCCCAGCAGTCTCGGACTCATAAACTCGCCTATAAATGAATATAAGCGCGATAGACCGCTACACCATCGACCCGATACTTAGACACTATAATCAGAATTTTACATTTTCAATAGCATTTTTTTAACACGCATGAGATGTGTTATAAAAATGCTAATAAAAACGTAAAATTTGATGATAAATAAAATAAATAATTCAAACCTTTAAATAACGGACGTGTTTAGTGAAATTCAAAAATATTTTTTTCTAAAAGCTAGCACAAAATCTAATCTAAAAATATTTTTTTGAAATTTTTTTCTTTTAAAGTTTTTCTACAAGAATTTTTTAAAATTCCAATAAATTCAAGCAATTTGAAACGCGCTACACTGATTTTTAAATATCGTCATAATAAAGCCTA